GTTGTGTGCTTTAGAGATGTGGAAGAAAGTTTGTCTATAACACTTTCTAAGTGGACTATAGCTTTAAATGTCTCCTCTGACATATTCGGCTGCCTCTCAATAAATCTCCTTACAGTGTCCACTGCAGAAAGTGCTTGTTTGTTAGTAACATTGGGCGGTAAACCTTCGATTTCCTCATCCTCTTCTTCTGATAGTTCACAAGAAGCTTTCGTTTGAGCGATGATATCATTGTCATCCCACTGACCACACACTGTTACTGCATCATCTACGTTTACAAACTTATGAAATTCCATGTCATCAAGCTTCATGAGTCCAGTCAATCTATTCCAATCATTTTCGGTGTGATTTTCAGCAGAATTAACGATATTGATTGTTTGACTATTTTCGTGATCTTTAATGAATCCAGATTTCTTTAAGCCATTCATTATCTTAGAGGAAGACACATCATTCCATGCCTTGTCAGCCATTCTTAAATTTTTTTTAATTTTTTTTTTTTGGAATATTTTTTCAATTTTAGAAAAAAAATCTACACTATTTATGGAAAAAAAATTCAGGTTATCGAGGGATTGGAAAAAAAAATTCGTGAAATCAAGTTTTTTTTAGCATTGAGTGTATAGGAAATTTGAAAGGAATTTTTTTTTCTTCGAGATATCGAAAAATTCGTGAAATCGAGGTTCGAGCTAGCGAGATTCGACTGTATAAAGCTTTACACTAATTATTAGTGCTAAATACTTGTATTTATTACGAATTATTGCGTTTTGGTGGTTATTTTTTAGAATTTAATTGATAACAACTAATCTCTAAGTGTTCTATTATACCGTTTTTTATATGTTCTGATTGGGTATGCAAAAGTAGATTAATTTTTAAATTGTGCAAAATACACCATTGAATACAAATGTGGAGACAAACTATTATTATTATATAATTTAATTAAATTATGACATGATTATAAGCTGCAGCCTTAGTAGTTAATCATTTTCTTCGATTGCATCGTAACTATATTTAAACAAATGTTTGTAGCAACTACATTACAGCTAGGTATTATAAGTTAGATAAAATATTTTACTCAATATCTTTTAAAAGTATTATTTCAAATAGATCTCTCTTAGTCATTTTTCTCACAAAAAAATTGCTCACAACTTTAAAAGAAATGCTCCTATCAGCTTGTGATTAGTTTTTTTTTTCTATTAAGTGCAAAAAATCCATAAAACCTGGAACATAACTTTAAAATTTTATGTTATTAGACGATTGTTGATCTTTGATTGCATTGATTGAAATATCAATATAACTATTTTTTAAAGAAACTCTGATGTGAATGACAATACCGGAAGTCCTGTTCAGAATCAGCTTCAAATATTTATTAAAAAGCTATTAGTCTCACAAAGTCTGACAAAAAGTTAAAAAATATAGACTAAGTCTTATTGAGTTTAAATATTTGCAAGAAAAAAAGAAAGAAAATCTAATTATCAAACTCACAATTACCATGATCAAAGGTTCAATTATGGAAAAATAAAAAGCGTTAAAATTTCATAATAAGATTGGAATTATATATTTGAATTTCCGTAAGGATTGTTATAGGTAGTACTTTCTGCAGTGTATTTTATTTTGTGGCTGTGGTACCTGTGATGCTCTTAGCTACAAAGGGTGAATAGAAATAAGAGAAGTGGAATGCCATTTATCTGAAAAAGAAAATAAATTTCATCCAGTTAATTTAAATCATGAAAAAAAAAAATTCTAATGTTATAAAACCTGTGTTGCCCTTGCCCCCTAGCGGCAGATCACGGAGAGGACGAGAGAGTTTTAAAAAGAAAGAAAACGAGAAGAAAGAAAACGAGGAACGCGCCTTGCCGAACTATCTCACTAATGTAAAGATATATGTACATTATTCCTTTATATAATATAAATAATATCTTTACATAATAGTGAGGTTAAAAATCAATAAAGTAGGTGGACCGTATAAACCTCACATTTAGCAATTATTGCTCTCGCACTGTGGGTCAGAGGACCATGATCTTTGACCAAAAGTCAAAATTAAATTTTCAACTAAAATATGTGTAGGCAATTTTAATACAGCCCAAATTAAGTATTCATTTCCAAACATTATAATTTACTTTTTGGACCGACGAGAGTACAATGTAATGAAAAATATGTTTAAAAAAATTTTTCTTTTCACATTTAACTTTTACATTTTTATTTAAGAAATATATATAGGAGTTTCACAGCAACACATCCGAATTTTTCAAAGTTTTAAAATTCTACAAATTCCAATCAAGTTAAAAAAAATTTATAACTACCAGGGTACCATATTAACCAACTAAAAATATTTTTTATGTTCACACAGATTCAGGGTATTTCTAAGTACAAAAATCTTGTAAATTTTTTAAACTCAAAACAATTTGTAAGTTATTCAAAGTACAAAGAACATCAGAAATTTTCAAAATACAAACATTTTGAAAATGTTTCTAATTTCAAATTAACAACCAATCTGAAGAGTTTTGGAACACAGGTAACTAAAAACTAGACATAGTTTTCGAAAACTTTAGTTACTGAATAACGATATGAATTTACTTAACTTTCTTAGGTTAATGTCAAAACGCTAGTATTTTATCAGTATTTCCAAAAACTTTCTCAATCAAACGAGTTTTAACGGAAAAATATTAATGAATAATAATTACACTGATAATGAGTAGACAAATTCTTAAAGACTTTTCGAACTCATAAACCATTTTATTCAACTGATTATGTAAAGTTATCTCTTAGAATGATTATAACATATTTACTATATCGAGTAATTAAATACGAACATTCTGACTATGAAACTATTTCATCAGTTTAGAATTATTAGACACATAATTTAAAATTGGTAAAAATATAATCTCTAAAGAAGTATTCATTTAGAAATTAAATATAATGCTTCAATGAGAAAATAATAATTTATATAATAAAAATATACTAGCTTGTGAAAAATTTCCAAATTCCGAAAATAAAAATATTTCTTCCACTTTCTAAAGAAATGATTAAAAAAAAAACATCTTCCTTCTGATAAAGTCTTACCGTTAAGCATTATTTATACTGCGGCCTCCATAGAACAGTTCGTAATCTTTACAATCTTGCTAAAAGAGGAGGCAACAATCAATAAACAAATGAAGATTCCATTTGATAAGAAAACAGCAATTATGAAGAATTTAATCAGAAAGAACATAAAAATCTTATAACTTTATTAAATTGCAAACTTTTTAATAATAGAAAGGTAAAAATTATTGAGAAATTGTTCTTCAAATGTTTGACATGTTCTGTTTCAGAAAGATTTACCAATGCTCTGGTTAGTTTTTTCAAGTTCTGCCTTTTCCTTAGGGAAATTTTGCTTCGTATTTGCTACTAAGAAAATGGCGTTTGACTCTGAAAATTATGATGATAGAACTAAATGAAAACTTAATAAATTAATGCCTGATATTTTCAGGCTTCTCTAGAGGGCGTACTCAAGCGCTGCGATTGCAAATTATTTTATGCTTTTTATATAATGCATGTATTTAAGTGATTATGTATGAATATGAAAGCAAGACTTAAACAAACTTTATATTAAGCTATTATTTACCAATTTAAATCTCAGTACTTTTTATTTCTAAGAAAAACGGAATCAAATTATACTGCTAAACTGTAATTCTTTTATAATGGATGGCTTTTCTACTGATAGACGATTGTAGCATAGTAAGTTATTGCTTACCCTTCAAATCAAAATTTACCCCTCATTTATCTGAAAAACTTATAAAAAGTGAAGCTTCTAGTGAATTGGAATGAATGTAAATAGCGAATATTGAGTTACGTTTGACAATTTTTTAATTTTATATTCCACCTAAGTATTTTATGCTTTTTTTCTGTTTAAAAATTTATTAACTCAGCTGAAGAAAGAAAATTGCAGTCATTTTTAAAATGCGAATTCTTCATAATACAACTAATAATTTAATTGGATTTTTATGCATATTTCATGAAATTTATGCAGTGTGTTCCGTAATTACGAATCTTAATGTATATTTTTAGTCTTTTTAGCGATAAAGTCAATAAAATATGGAGAGTATCTCAAATTAATATTGCAAATGGTAAAAAAGAAGAAAAAAACTTTTAAATTTAAAGAATTAGTATTAAAAAATACTCCAGTTCCCAGGAAAACTTATTTTTCTCTTCAACGAGCATACCAGCAGTTTAGAAATTTCCCATGTCCATGTTTAGAAATTTCTAAACATGTTGCAGTATACCCTCCGCAGATTATCAAAATTGTGTTGGCATGTCCTCGGGTAATTCTCGGGTATATTCCATAGAGTTGGTATATTCCCCTGACCATCTTCACTAGTCCATTGTGCAGTTCTAGGGCGGCGTAATCCCCTCCGCAGAGGATCAAAATTGAGATGGAATGTCATTCAATCATCCTCAAGAATGTTTCTCATACCTTCGTTAATTCCCTATTGTGCATCTCTAGTGCAAAGTAAATAAAGTACCTACTTACATATTGCGGCTATAAATAATGTACTACTACTAAATAAAGTAATATTTCTTCTAAACATTCACATGCTCTTCTTGTGCAATGTGAATAATGTAACCTAACTCATCAGTGATTTGAGGTACCTGAATCGTTTCCTTAGTCTTGCAAAGCTTTTTCCACCAATCACATTTTGGAACGCAAACGTTTCAGTTATTATAACAAAATTGGGTATACTATAGCCTACGTCACAGGTTGTGTTATTCCTACTAAATTTAACCCATGAACGGCATTTTCTGCGAGCCTAACTTCAAGCCACAAATAAACAAATGAAGTGTTTGATCGTTTAAATAGCTGCTCGCCAGATTTTATTGCATTATAAGGAAAAGTAATTGATATTCGATTTTTGATTAATAATTGATTTATGTGGATAGTGGCATAGAATTTAGCATTGCATCATGGTAAATGTTATTCCTACTAAGTGGAAGTAGTTGTGTTTTTTTAATATTATACCCAACTATCTCCATTTCTGTGCTCCAAGACCAGAAAGCATTAGTGACAAACACCACCTACTACTTAACACGTAGTAGTTTCAATTTAAAATTCAAAGTTTACAAACAATTTTTCTGAAATGGTTTTGTTGTTGGTTTCCTTTACTAAATTTATTTCCTGAATTTAATAAGCGTCGTTTCTATTTTTAAAGACTATAAGTTGGCCAATTATGATTATTTTTTTTCAAGTTTTGCTATAAATTCTTATAATATAGACATAATCTATAACGATATCCCCACAGATAAAAAGTCTTTCAATCTTAAAAATGAGTGAACAGTGTGACATCGGTGATTCTTTGTCCTTGTTACGATCGAAAAAACTGCATGATCTTCAAAGTAAATATATTAAATATTAAAAATATTATCATGCTGCTAATAACTAGTCAAATAATTTTAAAAGGAATTAAGACCAGGGATCAATACTTCCCATTTATACTAGTTTAATTTTTACTCACTTTAACTTTTGAGTAATAATTAGGCTTTTAAAATAATTGAAAAATCATAAAAATTTGTAATATAATGTTTGCATTTAAGTTTACCTTACAAATTAGTAAACTTCTATGATTATTTTTTTAATTATGATTATTTTTTAATTGTCTATGATTATTATCTAGATTATTATCTATAAATTAATCTATGATTATTTTTTAATTGTTGTATAATGAATGCGTTAAATTGGAAATATTATAACTTGTAGTAAAATAATATGAAGTTTTCTTTAAAAGTTTATATATAAATTTACATTATAATGTGTAAACAAAGCTGGTAGCTGATATTAAAAAATTGTAATGAATTGTAGCTTGCATTGAGAAATAAATATTGTATTTTTTAATAAAGATATAACCCATGCGTATTGAGGGATAAATTTATATATGGATTAAGAATTAAACTATGTGTCAAGAAATTGTGTTAGAATTTGTTTCAAAGTAATTTTGAGTTGCAATAAAAAGAACATAGATTATAGAAAGTTAGGAAAATAGATTATAGAAAGTTTTGAAGTCAAAGTGACATTTACGGATCTTATATTTTTTTTGTTTAAGCCAGCCAACATAGTATGACTCCCATTTAATAATTTATTATTACCTTTTACATAATGGTGTTTGTAGGTCTTTAAATAAACTTATATATTACTTACTAAGCTTGTATATTTAATTTCAAAATTAAAATATAAGACTAGATAAATGAGACTAGAATAACTTGCTATTTACAGATGTAAGTTGTTAATTTTTTTCTGTCTTACTTTTGCATCATGGCAGGAAATTTCAATTCTAAAGGTACTAGACAAACTAAAAATTTTATTGCTACAATTTTAACAAAAGTCATAGGGTTTCTATGGTTTCAATAAAAACTACACATCATTGAAATAAGAAAAAATATCTGGAAATTAAAGTATAAAAATTATCATTTGTCAATTACAGCCATAGTATCAAACTCTGTAAGTTTCTACTCTATTACCCTATTGTCAAACTTCGTCACTTACACGCTAGCCATAAATATTCCATTGTTAATGATGGTGTGTGGAAATTCTTTGCCTTGACTTATACAGGATACAAAAATTAATTAAATCAAATTGTTTGCTCTGTTTCTCTGTCATTGAATCAGGGTTCTCATGGGTCAGGGAAAACCTGGAATTGTCAGGAATTTAATTTCAATTCCAAAAATCAAGGAATGGTCAGGGAAAGTTGCAATTTTTTTACAAGAACCTGGAAAATTCCTTTATTATATGTACCTGGAAAAAAAACAGTCTTAAAATTGTCAGTAACAGTACTCAGTTGTTGAAATTTGAGTTAAATAATTCTAACATGTATTACAATTGTTTATTGTATAAATTTCACATTTTAGACAAACTGAAATGCTTCCTTCCTCATATAATGATATTTATTTTACATGGAAAATCTAATACTTGGCATTACAAGTAAAAGAATCAAAATTTTCTGATGAAAAATTTCGTTGTATAGATAAAATATGGTATTGATTTTCATTGAAATTTACCTGATATACCTGGAAAAGTCAGGGAATTTCTTTTCTAAAATTTAGTGGGAACCCTGTTGACTATATAAAGGGCAAAGATTTATCTTGTAAATTCAATTAAATAAGCTTTTATTGAGTCTAATCTGTTGCATTAAGTCTGTTTAAATTTTTGAAATTCTACTAAGTTGATCTACAGTTTGACCTGATTTTCTTTGATGATTAAGAATTATTAACTATTTATTAAAATTTCTTGTTATGCTGAAGCCAAATGTTTTCAAAATGTTGTTATGAAACACATGTAAATAATAATGTTTTCTATATTGAAATAATGTTAACTTTTCAGATATTTCTTGATATAAAATTGGTAAGCATTTGGAATCATACAGATAATAATATTGATATTTTTTTTAAATATCCATTGTAATTATTTTTCAGATGTCAGAGAGAAAAACAGAAATGCTGTTTTAGCTCAAAATCGTATGTTATCTACTGAAGTCAAGAGTGATGTTTCCTTTTCCCAGGTAGATGACTTTAAGATCAAAAAATAATTTACTTTCCTGATGGCCAGATATTTAAAAGTAGAAAAATTCTCGTAATTAATTGAGAAGGTACAATAATGTTCAGATATATGAAGAATGCTTTAATTCAATTAGAGAAAATGTTTTGAACTCTAACTTTCTCTTTCAAAGAATTAAAAATGGTTCCCATAAACATAAGAGTGTTTTACTATAAAAAATGAAGCTGTTCATCATTATAAAAGATAAAGTAGATATTAATACTAAGCAAAATTTGGAAATTTCGTTACATTTCCAAAAATTAAAAATGGGTTATGATTGAAAAAAACTTGACAAATATATGACATTTCTTTCCAAACATTTCTCAAAATGTAGTAAACATCGCAAAGTTAATTTCTAAAATTTAAAAAATGTCAAACAAAAGAATTTTTGGAATTCTACAAAAATATTCATAATAATTCCCTCATTGATTTTTTAAACCATTATAAAATGCTCAAAGAGTGCAGTTTCTTCATAAAAAGTAGAGATCGGATGGCGTCTGACAGACAATTTTTTAATCATCATTTTTTACATTTAATCTGCGACTGTTTTGTCCTATCCTAAGTGAACTCAGATGTTGCCATAAAATCAGGATTGCAAAAAGGTGATGCAGATGAGTTGAGTTCCACAATTCAAACTTACAAATACAATTATAAAGTATTCACGAAGATAGATAAAAAGTTAACAAAATGTATGTTCCATTTTATCATTGGATACTTACATGCTATCCCAAAAATATTGGCTACATGATGTAACAGCAACCTAAACAAAAAAATTGCCGTGGGATCTATCCCGGCCAGCTAACTCTAATAAATAAAAATACAATTTTAAATAATAATAGGTAAATGAATGAAAAAATACTAAAGAAAAATTATAAATTAAGGAAAGTAATAAAATTATTGTTAAATGGATAAATGTTGCATTTATCTTACACAATCTCAGTTATGTTTTGGTGGGAAATTTTTTTTTTTTTTTGGTTAATGTCGGGCACTTGGGACTATTCCCCACTGACCTTAGAAATGCCAGAATTTCTACTCTCTTCTCGTTACCCAGTGAGCAGCTGTGACTAAGCCACAGCGGTGGAGTTCGCGCACCCACGTCATACAACCACAAACCTGTATATAAGGTGGGTTACAGTCACACAATTACACAGAAGAAATGACATAGAACACACAGAGAGAGAAAGAAACATCCATGCCCTGGGTGGGATTCGAACCCGCAACCATCGGCTCCGCAGTCAGGCACGCTAACCACTTGGCCACCTGGTGGATTGTAAAATAGACTGTCTGGTAAAATGTTGTGTTTTTGTAGAAAGACCACAAAATTTTTTTCACTAGTTGTTAAATCCCATATTTACATTCACTAGTTGTTAGTCCCATATCTCCAAATTTGGCATGGTAGCAATAGTGCCGATCATTGTTTAAAACAATGCTTATATTACTTACTAAATTATTTGAAATTGTAACATAATTGAAGTTTTCCTTTTTGTGAATGTTTATACAAGCTTTGATAAAAAGTAAGCTAAAATATTTTTAAAGATTTTATGTAACATACCTAAGTTCAGCATTTATATGTTTGCAATTCATTCAGCAAAATTTTAAATTTTTTTGGTTTACAAATTCTGAATGCAAAATACAAAATACTCAGTTACAAAAAAAAAAAAAAAAAAAAAAAAAAAAAAAAAAAGCTTACTCATAGTGTTTGGTATTTATTATGGAAATGTTGACGTAGTACTGTTTCACACTTTGATATGAAGTACCAAATTATCATAAATAATATTTACAATGACGCTTACATCATCTGTTTGTTTTTCTCTTTTCTCCTAAATGTAATAATTTGACAATTTTTAATTTTCTTTATCCAGTTACAGATTCTAGATATCCATTTAAAATTTATTAACTGGTTCAATTCTTCATCTAGATTTTGCTGCATTTTGCAAAAATATGCTTAAATCTCTATACTCACCTTCAAATAAGGAAGCTAATTTATATATTATTAAAAATATTGTACCTAATTGTTTTTGTTTATATTTAAGAAAGCTTATCGATTTGTAAATTGCCAATTCCATTTTGATGTTGTTTTTTTATTGATTTTCTCGAATTGTTAAAATTTTTGTTTACTTCAAAGTTACTACTTTCTCTGAAAATAGTTTCTCAGATACATGTAATCAAACAGCTTTTTTTTTGTTAAAAAATGCAGAGATTTATTTTTATTTTTCAGGTGAAAGACTTACTCTTGGACCTAAAGGACAAAAGCAAAAAACTAGATAAACAAACTCTGACAAGAATAAAAAATTCTTGTTGCCATGCAGAATTCATTGAGTCATTTTTTAAGTAACTTACTTTTCTTAATATTTTTTTTATTGTTGCTAAATTAAGTTTAAAAAATGTCATCTCATTTATCGACCCACTGAAGGGAACAATCCTCAAGGGATCCTCGAGCCCAAGACCTGTGGCACGGGAGCGCTAAGCGCTTCCACTCAGCCACCGGGTGTCAAATTCAGATGTACAATGTAATAAATTCTAATTGTGCTTCTGACTTTTTAAATATATTTGTAATTATTAAAAAGAAAAAAACTTCTTAATTTCAAATAATTTTTTTATGTTGCTTTTTTTATAACTTGTTAAATAGCTCTTTTCTTTTTAATTTTTAAATCCATTTGATAATTTACCAGTATTTATTTAGTATATTGACTAGTGATATTTATTTGTTATTTTATTTTTTTATTTACTTAATTTGACCTCTGTAATAAATAAAATTAATTTCCCTAAATAATTTATAATTATAAAAGGTATTATCTGTTCCTTCTTGTATGTACCCCTATCTTGCTTGTTTGATTAGTATTAGTTGCTTACATGGTAAATAAATGATTTATATTGTTTATTAAATCCTATTGGTTCAGCATCTTGAACCTACTATGGTGGTCCTTGTTAAATAGTAAAATTTTTGCAAATAATGATAGTTCATTTTGTGCCATTTATATTTAGTTTGCTTTTTTCTTTGCAGCATTTAACTTGTTCTTTATGTTCTACATGATTTATTAATACCACATAAAATACATTCTTATGTTAATAAAAACTATTAGTTTACATGTAAACAGGTGCATTGGCTCTTTTTTTTTTTTTTTTTTTTGTGATAACATATTTTCTCTTTCTTGATTCTTGAATTGGTTCTTTCAGCATAAAAACTGATCATGATGCCTCTGGAATAATCTATACTTTTATTTTCTTGATTCCAACTTCCTGTACAGTGTATTCTGTTACGTTTTCAAATATTCTCATTTTTTCATACAGAATTATTTCATACATATTTCCTTGTCTGTAATATTTTCAATATCTTTAAATTCTAACATGTTTTTCTCCCAGACAAGTGTTGTGTTGCATCTCTCAAACTCTATGTATAGAATAATTATTTTAAAAGTGACACAGTAATGAAATTGAGCTAAGTTCTTCGTCTTTAGTTTTGATTTAATTGTTGGCTGAAAAATTACATACAGCCAAACTTTGATGTTGCAAACTCAAAGGTTGATACTAAATATTTCTTGATATTGAGTACTTTTTAATAATTCCGACCAAATAATTACTGTGTTGACATTTTAAAATTGGTATAACATGTAATCACTTCAAACAATGTCTACATCTTTGCTTTGTATCTGTTTTTGCATTTTAAAGCTCTTCAGTTTCATCATCTTTCTTTTCTAATACTTCTCTAGATACCTTATTATTTTATTGTTCTCAATCACAGCGCATTGAGACATTATGATCCATAGTATCTACTTCCTAGTTTTTTTTATTTATTTAATTACGAATCTTTTCTTATTTGTCTACTTTTTTTGGACTACGTAATGATTTAGGCAATATCTTTTCAAACATGGTGATCTTTTTCTTATTTGAGTTTTGAGAAATGAATAAGGAATTGTTTGAGAATTGGAATTTAAAAAAACACACACGCATTTTAAAATCTTAAAAAATTGGAGAGAGAAGAATTGGGATAAAAAATATTCCATAAAATTAAAGGTTATTGAGAAATGTATGTGACTAAAAGACATTTTTCTATTAGAAATGCAGCAAACATGCTAAGAATTCAGATGTTTTTAAGCTTTTAAAGTTTTACTATATTTCAAAAAAGATGAGAAAACTTTGCATTCAATTTATTTGTTAGAAAATAATATCTCAGATGTAGTTTAACTAATTGAATATAAATGTCATGTTAAGTATAATTCATTTTCTTTTGAGTATGTATAAAAATTATATGCACAATTTTCTTATTTTTATGTTCTTAATTTTGATTTATTTTTAGGATTAATGGAGTATTCAATGCCTTGTTATCTTGTCTTAAACACAATGATGCTCAAATCCAGTTAGAAGCTGTTGCTTGCTTAACTAATCTGGCATGTGGGCCACACAAACTTTGTTTTAGAATCGCTAAATCTGCAGGCCCTTACTTAGTATTATTTATGACAGGCAGCAGTCACTATTTACAAGTAGGAATGTTTATAAAATCAATCAAACTTTTAAACAATTCTTTTATATTGACTTATTTCGTGACTTCTCTATTTTTGTATTTGGGCAAGTGCTATGATACAGACCCTGTTGAGCACACTTTGATTCATTTTAACTCTTGAAATGTGAAAAATTATTTGATTGCAAACTTTTTAACCAATCCAGTTCAGAGCTTATGTGTTATGACACATTTAGCAATTTCTTTATTAATATTTTAAATAATTTTGTTTGAATAAACAAGTTATAGAAAATCAAAGTAATTGCTTAAAAAATGTATTTGACTTTTTCTTTTCAGAAACCTGAAATTATTTGAATAATTTGTGCATGATCTTGATCAGTGTGTTTGAATTTTACTAATCACAATCTGAATTTCAAAAGGCATATTTTATGTAAATTTTGAATCAATAAAAAAGATATGAGTTAAAATACAAAACAATTTTTATTTCCATGACAAATTAAAAGTTGTTATTAAAATATTTTGTTTAACTCTACATTGTTCGTTTACAAGAAAAAGTTTTTTTTTCTTTTTACATCGAGAAGCCAGCCACATCTGCTATTTTTCTTCTAGCAGCCCAATACAAAATAGCCTTCATGTGAAAGTTGTTAATGGTCAAAGAATTAATAATGTTGCTTGGAGATAGACTGATTGTCAAGTGATTAAAGCTCATGGCCTCTTCCGCATAGCACAGATGACAGTCAGAGGAGTTAGAAAGCATATTTACAAATGTTGCTTCTCATTTAACACTATTCAGTTGGCATGTGTGGATTAGAGATAACATGGACGCGAATTAGAAAAAGTGTTGTAGAGATACCTTCGCTGCCTTGTCTATGGTTATGATAAATAAATTATTTCAATGATATTTAATATTTTTGATAATAGTGTGTTATAATTTATTTTCAAACTATGCAGAACTTAAAAATTTTTACTGTGGTATAGTTTCACATCTAATTGTAGGTGCGGCAAACTAACTTAGATAAAGTTATTGCATCCGAAAATAGAAGTTAATTAATATCTTATTAATTTGTGTGCTCATTTCTTTTTGTCTACTTCTTCAATTACGAAATATTTTATAATATATCTCTTAATTTACGTATCGTTTATTTATTTATTTATTTTGTTGCTTTTTTTTTGCAATGCCAAGCAAAAAATCTGTTACTTTAGTGTTTTTTAAGCAAGTTGAATGACAGTGTGGAATCATCCGTTCTCTCCATATGCAATCATTGTACACAGAAGTTTTATTTTTAATAAAGCTATATTAAAATTATTTGTTAGGATTTTTTTCACTGCACTATGTATTGTAATATGTGTCTTGTCTTTTGAAGCATAAAATGAATTTTTTTATTGAATGTTTTACTTCATTTTTTTTATTTTTAATTATTTATATATTTTAAATAAATTTTAATTTTATGCAATAACTTAGATTGAACTTAAAAAAATTATGCTAAAAATTGACTTAAGCTTAGAAGCATGGATTCTTTTCTTAAATATGATACTTAAATTAAGTAATATATATACACTCATATTATGCTTCATAAACATTTCATGAAACAAGTTTGCATGAGGTACTTGAATACATAATTGATTGCTATTTGTTTTTGAGGTAATAAGTTGGTATTTTTTTTATCTTCCAAGTTTAGGCTCAGTGTGCATGGGCAATCAGAAACATTGCAAATGATTGTGAGACTTGTTATTTCAGACTAAAATCTCAAGGGGTCTTTCCAACTCTTTTAAAAATTCTTGTGGTAAGCAAATTTTGATTTTTTTATGCTTTAAAAATACTTTACTTGAAGCAGATGGATTAAATATCTAAGTTACCTTAAAAGGTAATTTTGATAAAAAGTATTTTTAACTAGTTTTGTTTAGATATTCACTTTTCTATACTCTTTGCACTTATTTCTTGTTTAATTTTTTAATTATACATTCTTGAATATTAGTAAGATGGTTTACCTACCAAATATTTTTATTTATTTGTTATAATTAGTTATACGAGGGTTGCTATTTCTATTTCTGGCCTTGGCAACAGTAAGTGTTGCTAGGCGACCGCAGACGATTTTAATCGAAAGTTTGATATTTTTAAACATAAATTCAGCAGACGATTTACCATCATAGCTTCATTTGTGTTGTTGACAGTAAATTGAAAAGTTCTTCTCTTTCAAAAAATGGAATTGAATCGTGAACATTTTCGTGCCATTATTTTTCATAACTTTCGACGTGAATTGTCAAGACAGGAGTGCTTCGATGAACTTAATTCTTTATTCAGCGATAAAGCGCCATCCTACAGCACTGTAAAAAATTGGTAGGACGAATCCCTTGCAGGCCGTCCAAAATCCGTTGTTGTGCCAGAAAAGATCGATGCTGTGTGTGAACTGATAAAGCAAAATCGTCATGTGACATACCGTGAGATAGAGGCGTCTTTGGACATTAGTATGACTAGCATCAATAAAATATTGCATGAACATTTGAGCGGAAAAAAAAAATTTCGCGTTGGATCCCGCATAATCTGACAAATACTCAAAAAAAGGCTCGTGTCGATTGGTGCAAGGAAATGTTGGAAAAATACGTTCAAGGTTCATCAAAGGCTCTGTATAATATTCTACTACACAGGTGACAAATCGTGGATCTATGCATATGAGCCGGAAACAAAACAGCAATCAACTCTATGGGTCTTCCAAGACGAGGCCAAACCAGCAAAAGTTGTTCGAGGAAGAAGCACATCGAAACAAATTATTGTCTGTTTCTTCGGCATTAACGGTTATGTGGCAACAGTGGAGTTAGAGCAACGCAGGACGGTCAATTCTGAATGGTACACGACCATTTGTTTGCCAGAAGTCATCGGAGAAATTCGGAAAAAGCAGAAGAACAGGCGAATCATTCTTCATCATGACAATGCGAGCTCTCACACATCGACTCAAACAAAGGCATTTCTGACGGAGCGAAAGATCGAACTGATGAGTCATCCGCTGTACAGCCCTGATTTGGCACCCCATGACTTCTTCTTATTCCCACACATCAAAAAATTACGTGGACAACGATTTTCGACCCCCGAAGAAGCGGTTGATGCATTCAAAGATCATGTTTTGGAGTTACCTCAATTGGACTGGAAAAAGTGCTTTGCAAATTGGTTCAAATGCATGCAAAAGTGTATTGATCATCATGGAGAATATTTNGTTGATGCATTCAAAGATCATGTTTTGGAGTTACCTCAATCGGACTGGAAAAAGTACTTTGAAAATTGGTTCAAATGCATGCAAAAGTGGATCATCATGGATAATATTTTGAAAAACAATAAAACCAATTTCGATCTTACATGTTTGTTTTTTCATTATTAGGCCAGAAATATAAATAGTATGATTATACAATCTTTGAAAGTAAAGTTATTGCAGAAAAAATGCCTTTATTAAAAATGTAAGTCTATTGTGCTTATATTCTTATTTTATCATCGTGTATAATTTTAAGATAAAATTTTGTCTTAAAATTTTATATTTTTGTTGAGTAAAATATGGTTGAAATATTATTATTTTTTTTTCTTTCTGTAGCTTAGAAAATAGCTTCAAACTTAATAGGTTATATCAATTTTTAGTTGGTTTAAAAAAAAACATAACAGCAAGCTGTTCAAGAGGCAAGTTTTTTAGATCAAGTTTTATTTTTTTTTGGGGGGGGGAGGGAATATGAAAGTTGTGAGTTATATATACAGAAATACTGTCAACCAACAATTATAAAATTATACCGAAAAGCAATATTATCTTACACAATTTTATCTTCTCTCCAAAAATAAAATTTCTTTCTTCTCAATCAAATAAATTATTATAATTTTGAAGAAAACTTTCAAATCTGATTTTTTTCTATTACCAAAATTATGTTGTGAAATAATTAATGTATATTTTTTGTTATTTCAAGGTGACATTTAATGGGAAAATGTGTATCAGAAATATTTTGAAATTTGGTTGAGATATTTTATTTTCGAATGATTAACAAAAACTTTAATTTTTTTTAATGAAACTGCTGAGCTTTGTGACTTTTCTTTTAATAAATGAAATTTGTAGCATGATCTTCTATTTCTTTAAATATGTGAGAACTGAACAACTGTCAGACATGTAGAAAAAAAAATTTGTAAAATTTGTTCGCCAAATATAAATGCTCATTTCATCTTTTTTCAAAATGCTATTTATTATGCATAATTATTTCATGATAAGATATTTTTGTTTTGAATGATTAAAAAGTGATTTAAAAACAAATAAAACAGCTGAGAATTTGATCTTTTTTTATAACAAATGTATTAAAAAATAAATAAAAATTACAAATATCACTATTAAAAATCAAAATTTTTTTAAACTTTTAAGAAAGTAAACTGTAACGCAGAAAAAAAATTTATATGCTATTCTTCTATCTTCTTCTTGTTATTTTAATTCAGCAATACTTTCGTAAAATTTCAGGTGTTCATGTTTAAAAGATAACAGATATTTAGATTCAAAAGATGTTATAGTTAGTTTTTATAATATCTTCCCATGAGATTATGTTGAGAAGTGTAGATGCTGTTCTAATTATATTTTTTATGATAAGAAATAGGTTAAAGGAGTTTTTATATTGTTCGATTAAATTTGTAATATTCATTTAATTAGAATAGTTTGCAAAAGTCATTATTTTTGTTTTTTCAGTCACCTATACCTGATGTAATTGAACCTGCCATTTATGCTCTAAGTGCCTGTCTCAAACATGGAGATCTTGATTTAATGTAAGTTAAAAGAAGTATTAACTTTTTATTGATTTACTAGTGAGTACTGTCCCTGTCTTCCTATAGCTAGCCTAAATCTTCAAGACTTCTTACACATTTCTTTCAGTATCTTAGCTGACTCTTTGCATCTGAAAGTAACGATCAGTACTATTTTTTATGAATTTGCAGAGTTGATCAGGTGCAAAATGGAAATCAAAAGCAAATGTAAAAATAGCAAATGCGGTGTTTTTTTCTATTTTCTGTTTGTGTTACTGCATTTTCATTGACTGGATTGAAAATATTTGCTGGCAAAAATTTATTGACAGAAAACAAACTACAAAACGAACAATTCAACGAAATGAACTTCATTTTCTCTCAAAACACATAATCATCCTTTACCAGATAAAACAACCATATGGAAAAAGATTTCTAAGATCTGTCCATATTAATTTGATTAAATATTAATATCCAATCCTGCAATTTCCATAATCTTTTTCTTTGTTCTATAAAAATGGATGTTTTCCAAACAGTAAAAATTGCAATTTTATTTGTAATTGCTTCCATTCTAATTCTCAAAGCAAAATCTAAGTCCTGCTTTTTTTTTAATATAAAGGTACATAGCTCCAAAAACTATAATTTTAACTACAACTATTTTTTTTTTCTACCTATAAAAAAGTTCCTAAAAAGCAAAGCTGAAAATTCGTTAACAACAAAACTGATTTAAAATTTTAAAAAAAATTTAAAGTAGAGATCATTTTCTATATGGTCTATATCTACTAATAATAATTTTAGCTGAAATGAATTATGCATTGTTAGAAACAACAAATCCTTAAATCTGATATAATAACTCTACTACTGTCAGCATAAATAACATTTTCCTAGTAGAAATTTCCCTAAATATTTTTCTAAAATGTGCACAACTTGATATTTTTCCTTCCAACAGTTTTTACATTCTAAAGGGGAAAACCATGTTTTTCATTCCTTTCTGAAACAGCATCAGTAACGAAGGCATCACTGCCAGAATCTTTTTTTAATATATAGAGAAAGCTGATTAAAATCTTGTATCATGTTCTTTCTGTATGTAATTTGAGTATGTTTTCTACCTTGAAATTATGTGTTGTGGTTGCACAAATCAAAAGTATAATTTTAATTGTAAAGCAAAACACAAATTAAAGCTTTACAATATCAAATTAAAATGTCTCATTAAAAAGTTTTCAAAATTTTCTGAGCCGTTTTATACTAAAATTCACATTTATTTCGTTATAGAGGAAAAATAATTTTAAAAAAATTTTAAATGAACATATCTAATGTCTTTGAGATTATTATTTTGAAATATTTCTTTGCAGTGATGAAAATGGAGAGAAATATTCTAATGGATTGTTGAAACTGATTGAAGAACACAGGTTTCCAATTCCTACTCTTCAAGAAGCAGCTTTTGCATTAGCTAATTCTTTTTATATGTAAGTTAAGTCAACAGTTTGAATAATTTCATTTATCATGAAATTTCTGCAATTAAATATCTATGTATAGATGCCGGTTGATTTAAAAAAAAATCGTGTACAAATTTGAAGGGCAAGGCAAACATTAAAAAAAGAATAAAGAAACAGAAACACAAGTTCACAAGCACTATCCAAAGCCACTAGATGGAATTGCTAATTCTACATAACATGCAAAAATTGTTCTACTTCATTTTTATTTACTGCATTTCCACGCATTTCAAATTTACAACTAATACTACCTCAAGAGATGCTCAAAGGTTTTGCTAAATTATCACACCAGCAGGATGTGTTCGAGATTCGAGAAAGTGCGCTGTTCCTTGCAGCGTTGATGTAATGCATGTGTTCTGGGATCCGGCTAAATTGAGTATATATGACCAACAGTGTTTCTCATAAAAGTGTATCATTTGTTAACATACTCTAAAAATAAAACGTAGATGTATTTTTGTTTATTATTGTGCATAGTATATAATAGTCAACATCTTCTATCAGCCCTGGATAGCCTCTCCCTTTCTATGTTCTTATGTGATTTTTTTTATTATTTTTGTATGTCTGTTTTTGCTTTTTTATTTTGGCCATTATTTTATATGTTGCATTTATGTATTTATTTTTATTCACATCAATATTTTTTTTAATATTCTATGGTTTAAATATCAAAATATTGCTATAAAAATAATGTATTTTATAAGTGTTTTAATCAATTGGTGTTTTGATGCATTCTATCTTAATTTATCTATCCTCATTTATCTTAATTCAAGCACCGCAGTACACATTAAATAATTATTCAAAATTTGTTGAATCAGTTCCAAGTGATATTTGTTGTACCTTAATCATACTGTTAAGGTAACAATAGTTTTTTTTTTTTAAATATTTATTATGGCAATTAGGCAGAAAATAATGTCATAAGATCTCCTTTAAAATTTATCCAGTTTAACAGTTACATTATTTTTTAACAAAAAATATAATATTTATATTTTATTAAAAACAAATCTTAATAAAAACTACTGTCGTACATAACAAAAAATTGTATTCAAATTTTTTAAATGTTTATTGGGAAATAAGGCATATCAAAGCAATTATATATTTGGAGTACAAAGAATTTTTTTATGAAAATAGTTTGTAAAATATAAAACATAATTACCATTTTATGTACTTTAACATTAAATCTGGTATTAATGCCAAACTGTTATTATTTTATTGTTTTTATCCATTGTTTTCTAATTATTGCAAAAACAAATTGTATTAAAATAGTAACTTTTTATTTCAAACCTCTTCACAATTATTTTATATTTAGGATTAGGATAAGAAGTGGAAGCCCTATAAAATTCAGCAAAGAGTACACAATATGGATGATTAGCATTTCTTTGTCAGAAATAAATTAGCATAATTTTTAGTGTATGCATATTTAAATGAATACAAAATGTATCATATGAACTTTTATGTTAAAGAAATGACTCTGGTATTTTTTATTTATTATTGTTATTAAACATTGAATACCTACTATAGCATGATTTACAATTTTTTCAGAGCTGTTAAAGCTAATAGTGATTTTGAAAATTTTGACATACAGAAAGTTTTAGAATGCTTAAAGACATTTGTTTATCAGGATTCAGATGAGTGTTTAGTAAGTTTAATTGTTTTTATATTTATCATTTGCATTTATTTTCATTTTGGTATGATATTAAAAGTTTGTACATATTGTAGGTTACTCTGCAGTTGATCAGATGCTTAGGTTATTTGACCTCTTCAGAATTTGTCACTGAAAAATTAATCAACTGTGTCCAGTTTCATGAAATCACCATTAAGTTATTAAATCATCCTTTCCATTTCTTGAAGAAAGAGTTACTGTGGGTTTTGACCAATATATCTGGTAAGCTTATATTCTTGGAGTAGTTGGAACAATAAAATGTATATAATGAATTGTTTTAACAGATTTTGTAGATTTTTTGGTTAAAATTCTGGTCTCAATTTCAGCATTATTTTTAAAAAATTTTTTGGTCGTAAACTATTTTAAACTCTATTCTTTTAATGCAGTGTTTCCCAAAGTGTGGTATGCGTACTCCCAGGGGTAAGGGAACAGTTTAGCATGGGGTAAGCGTTCTAATGCAAAATATCTTGCAGCAAACAAAAATTTCAAAAAAAAAAATTTTAAAAACAAGGCTAGCCATGAAAATATACGATTACGTATTTTTCTATTGGATATCTTTTAGCAGAGTTAACAGTTAATAATTAGTGGTGTCAGCAGCCAGTTCTGATTTTTACCTTTTGTGCGATTTTTTATAGTACAAAATTCATTTATTTTTTATTAGGGGTACTCAGCATTACAAAAATTTAGAAAGGGTACACGAAAGTCATAAATTTGGGAAACACTTTTTTAATCTAATAAACATATAAATAATAATTCCAGAATCAAGAGCTGTTTTTACTATGTTTAAAAATTTTAAACTTCAGAAAAATTAAATTAAACTTCTTTTAAATTAATTCCCAATAACTCATTCTATACTAATAGTTTAAGTTTCACTATTAAGTTAAAAGTTCCAGTTTTACATAATTTTCTTTTTTCAAAAAAAAAAAAGAAAATTCCAGTGCTTTTTTACTATAAATTAGTTTCTTTATGTTGGTAAATATTTATCACAATATTTATTTGTGAAAAGCAAACTATAGAAACACTCTGTTGTATGTCTCATTAATTCATAATCATAATGCATATTGATACATGTTCACTACAATGCAAATAACTTTGTGTCTAAAAAGGATGTTCTGGTGTAAGTTGAATGACTAACAACTTGATGTCAGATGCATCCTTTTAGGAATATAAAAAAGTATGCTGCTGATGACACAGCTAAAGTAATTATTTATCAAATTCATTAGCTAACGTCATCATGCAGCTAAACTTTTGAAAGTTATCAGTTGCACCATTCAAAATTCTGTTTATTGTAAATTTAACGAATTTTGTCCGACTGGAAAAAAATATTGTAAATAACGAAACACTGCTATATCAGAAACATGAAAATTCCATTGAAAAGTAAAATTTAAATGCTTACAAATTTAACTATGTTAAATACAAGCTAAAAATGTAATGTTCACACTAGTAGTACACTTCATTTTGTAAAAAAAAGAAAAAATCTTACATTTATTTTAATGATTTTTAAATTTATTATTATAATTTTAAATTATTTTGTATGTTAATTTTGTTTTATCGTACCTTGGAAAATTGTTTTAATTATTATAATAAATTTGTTTGTGTTATTTTTGTTTTAATTCATGTTTTTTTTTATAGTTTCACAAGTTATTGATAACAACCATGCATTGTTTTTGCCTATACTTAAAGTTTTAGAAACGTTTCTGAATACTTTAGATTCTGCATCCCTACCTGTATGTATTTAAAAATTCATTCATATTTCTCAATTTATTATTTTTTTCATGCATTGCTTAGCAATTTTCGTACTAAAATGATCTTTTTTTTTCTTCCAGGCATTATATTATGTGTGTTGCACAGCAAAGGGAAATGAAAACATATGTTCTCTGTATCAGCAATATGGTGTTGTATCTAATATTCAAAACCTTATGGCTAGTGACAATACAATTTTAAAAAATTCTTCAGCGACGTGCCTTGCTATTATTCAAAAGCCTGATTCGTCTCCATACGAGTGATTGTTTTTGCTGTAAAAAGTTGTGACTCTTATGATTGTGTTGCATTAAAACAAAAAAGTCTAAAATTCATTATTTTTAATCATAAGTGGAATTTTAACAAGTGTGAACAATATAAAACTGTGATTGTTTATTTTGTAAAATATTATAACTTTTATGTGTAAGTTGCATTAAATAAAATCTGAAATTCCTCTTTTCAGATCAAAATAATTTTTTTAGCTAATGCCAACAGTATAAAACTGTAGTTACTTGGGTTGTGAAATATTGAGTGACTTATAAGTGTGAGTTGTATAAAAGTAAATAAAAAGGACTCATTTTTATTTTTTATCAAAAGAATTTTCTTAGTAAGTGTCAACAACAATAGAAAACCAAAATTAGTGTAGAAAATACTTTTCTATTGATTAACTATTTTTTATGTTAAAAAATATTTTGCTTTTGTCTCAAATGTTTCGAGATAAAGAAATTATGCTTACCTTCCAAAAAAGTTATTTTAATACAATTGTCAGGTAGTTAATTTTTTAAAAAGAACAACCAAATTTGAGCATATTTTATTCAAAAAAAATATATAAATGTAATGAAAGTGATATATAAATAAATTAATATGTATTCAATCATTGTTATTTATTAGTTTTTTCTTATAAAAATGCTTGTGTGAAAAACATTTTTTACCAACCGAAACATTGTTTTACGGAATTCTAAAATCAAAAAGCAATTTTACTTATAATATTAAAAAAACTCGTGTAATGTCAAAAGTAATTTCTAGATATAAATTTTCTATTAAATATGATTTAAAACAAGTATTAAAAAAAAACAAGAAGTTTCTTTTCTCCACACGTAGGTATTACACGCAAACATTTTCTTTTTTATGTTAAGTGAATTTCAAAACAATTAAAAACAGATGATTTTGTTTAGTTTTTTTTATGTATAAATTTTTCAAAACTTCTAAATAAAACAATCTCTTTCATAAGAACTAAGGTACTCAAAAAAACTATTTTTACTCATTTATTTTGAATGGTTACACAATTGACATATACCTGATAATAAAATAAGTGCACTATCAGTATATTTTTATCAGAATAAAAACATATATTTTTCAAAATATTTGCTTTCTCATCCTTTTATCAGCTTTTAAAAGATAATATCTTATTTTTTAGTTAATACACTGTTAATTGATAGATAATTTTCTTATTTATATTTCATATTTTTTAAAATCTTTTTTATAGTTCTGTTAAAACAAAGATATCCAAAACCAAAGCACTACAATTGCTATTACAACTTTCAATGATAATCCTCCCAATTTACTTCCAGCTTTTTTATTTCTTCCACTCCGAAGTGGATATTTAACCCTTTCCTTGTAAGTCAAAATTGCATTCCTTGCTCCCGACCATTTGTGTGGACCTTGTAAGCGATATTGGTAAGGTAATGATGGACCCAACCATAATGCCCAAAACAATTTTTGATCAGTAAAAAATATCTTAACCAAATTTGGCTTTGCCCCAAACTGAAATGCTATATCATCTAAGTAATCTATATAATCAACCCGTGTGGTCAGTCGGTCAGATTTCTTATACCGTTTAATGTTCATTTCATAGGTTTTTCGCACTTCTGCGAGCATCTTCTCTGTTGGTGGGAATTCGACTTTTTTATTAATTAAAAGAGCTGCCCATCTACACTGTGATTCCCCCATTGGAAAACCTGGACCCAAAGGTAAAATGAATCCTATAATAGCGAGTGTGGGGTGGGGTAATTGAGCAGGATACACACATTTATAGATATTAAGGCAATCGCCATCTTTTGTTAAAATGCCATCGCTTAAGAAGGGGAATTTCCACTGGTATCCTGTTGCCATTATGACCGTATCAACTTCTGTGATATTCCTTTCGCCTTCAAATATGACGCCACATTCTGTGAAACACTTGATATCGTCTTTGACGATGACGTGACCAGAGAGGATTTTGATTGGTAGGATGTCTGACACTACAGGATCTTGCGACATTAAATGATGTGATGGCTTTATACCGTACAACGAATGATTAAATGACAGCCGTTCAAAGAAGTTTTCTATATACCGACTGCTCCATGTTAATGGCAGGCTTTGAAGTAGGTAATTTGACCATCGGCGGAGACAACATAAGTCAGTAGGCAGACCGTATGGACCTGACCGTGGGAGTACCCAGGCTCCAGTTCGAGTGCTGAGATACACCTGAAACATAGATATCTAATTTATGACAACTCTTTTATCTGTTTTCCTGAAAGTGACAGTGCGAGAAAAATAAATTTTAAATCACTAATTTTTCATAAATTGATGTCAATAATATCATTCCTTTCATTAAACTGACTGTGATTTGAGTAAAGTCTGTTGTCAGTGCCTGTGTTCATGATCCAAAAACACTGAATTAGCAGTTTATATTTTGGTACACGCTCTATCTTTTATTGATGATTATTTCTAAAAGATTTATTAAGTGTGAATAAAGTAAAATTTAATGCTTGCACTGCAAATTATATCGTATTAAAAATTATTATGTAACTAAAGATTTAACGCATATCCTTCAAGCGCCATTATAAATACAGTAAAACCTGTTTTAATTGACCTCTATAAGAACTAAATTTCTTTATATAGATAAAAGCGAAAGTATGTCTCTATCTCGAGTTTTTTTTTTTTTTTTTTTTTTTTTTTTTTTTTTTTTTTTTTTTTTTTTNTTTTTTTTTTTTTTTTTTTGCACTTTCAAAAGAAGGTTATAAACAACCACATCTTTCGGGCACAAAATTGAAAATACGAAATTTTATAGACTTTAGAACATTCTACGACGAACCGTTGATTTTAATTATTTAAAATCAGCGGTAATTAAAATGAAGCAAAAGTTATGACTTCAAAGGCAAAATTAATGGAAAATGGGTACTAATTCGTTTACGAACAGAAACGTACAATCATTGACATTAATGATGCTTATTTAATTAAGTAATATATGATTTTTTTTATTTTTATAACCGTTGTTGAACAGCTGAACCAATTTTGAGTTTACGTCTAACAATGTTGAACTCCGTAGCCTTGTAATTTTGAACTCAATCCAGAAGACAAGGGAGCTCCTGGTTCAAGTTTCGGGAGAAATTTGCCTTCGTGTAGGACTTTTTGATAGAACTAATCCACATTTGCGTTACATGGAAAGGAAAATCACGAAAATCTATCACGGTTAGCCTGACGGTAAGGTTATTGTAACCTATGATCCGCCTATCACTCAGGATATTTTACGTCATCACTGTGGTTGGTTCGAGCTGGATACAGAATTCGTATCGACCAGCCATCGCTGGGATTCGAACTCCGTTCACCTCATTGGAAGGCGAACGCTCTATCCCCTGAGCCACCACGGTTGTAAGGTATGCATATTGAAATAAAAAATAATGCTTTTAGCATGCGACTTATTTTTTATTATATTTTATAAGCAAACTTAATGGGGAAAAGATTAGTGGGAAATTCGTTTTGGGGAACGTAGAAGTACTACACGCATGTGACGTTTCTGGACAGGAGCCTTTCTGTTGCCACTGACAACAGAAAGGCTCCTGTGTGTTTGTAGGCAGTGTGTCCCCTGAAGAAGTGCTGTCTTACAGACACACATATCTTTTATTTTATTGCTTTTTATTACTTTTTCCTGCTTTATTTGCTTGTTTGAATATCTAAATTAAACTAAATCAAATTTGGTTTTAGCTGCCTTAGGCGTTTTTCCATTTTGATTTAATGTTTTAATTGTAAATTTACTTCTTTGTCTCTTTTGTTTCTATAAATTGGATTCATTTTCTGATTAAAGAATTAGACAAGAATCCCGAATTAACTTTTTTTTCAGATCAGGTATTTACTTTCTGTTGAACTATAATTACCTGTTCTGCGAGATTACTTATTTCCGTTGCTGCATCCACCGCAGAACAACCAAGGCCAACAACAACCACTTTTTCATTTTTAAAACTCTCAAATGTTCTTAGCTGTTTGGAATGCAGAATCCTTCCTTTAAACTTCTCTTGGCCTGGAAATATCGGCATATTTGGATATGCAAATTGGCCGGTGCAAACGAAAACTCCATCAAAAACATCAGTCGTTATTTTGTTAGACCTAAGATTTTTTACTGTAACGGTCCATCTACCTGTTTCGTCATAGTCTTCAGTTTGACAAACGTGCGTGACTTCATGATTAAAATGTACATGTTTTAGAATATCGAATCGGTTCGCGTAATCCTTTGCCAACTCATAAATCTTTTTGTGAGATGGATAGTTAGGACAGTCTTTTGGAAATGGGTAATCACTTAGAGCACTCATCTCTTTACTGTTATTTGCTGTTGTTGCTGAAGTTATTGCAGCTAATCCTATAAAAAGAAATTAAATAATTATCGAATCTAACAAAACGTTGATGAATGGAGAGACTCAAAAGAAAACTCATTGTTCAATCGGGTGACGCTTAAATTACCTGTCCGTTCGCAATGCAAATAGTTTATGTAGTTCATTATTTTGAAATGACTGAAAGGTATGGAAAAATAACAGGTTGCATGGCATTTTCAAACTACTGAACATTTCATTATTTGGAAGTTATTATGATATTGGCAGTTTATCAAAGAGCTTTTTGTCTTGACACGCAGCTGAAAATGCGTGTTTAAGAAGATGGAGGAGAGCACATTATGATAATTTTTGTCCTCAAATTAAAACCACGTGACTGAAGGGCGAATCAAGATATTTTCAACCATCTTTTTCTCCTTGTTATTTCAATGGAAGAAAATCGATGTGGGAATTTTAGAGTCAAAATCTTAAAATATGGTGTTTTATTGTAATGCATTTGGTTGTACAGAAAAATTTATTAAAGAACCTTATACATTTCATAGGTAAATTAATTTATATCTTTTTATAATTACATTTGTTTTGTTTACTATATAAATGAACTTTTATCAAACGCATCTTTTCCTTAAGGCTCCATATGAACTCCGATTATTCCATTTTATTTACTGTAAAACTCCGAATTTAAGATTTCAAAACTATCTACCAAGTAAATATAAACAAATAAAACCAATTTAAGCATAAAGCAAAGATTATATAAAATTATTTATTATTAATCCATAATTTTTTCCGTTACTTATTAATATATACTTCAATTATTATATATATTCAATTATTATATATTATATTCAATTATTATGTATTATATTCGATTATCATATATTATATTCAATTATTATATTTATACCAACTTCAATTATTTATTATTGATACATAAATTTTTAATTAACTTTAGTACTAAAAGGTAATAGTCAAGGTTTTGGAGGCATTGTTTCTTTGTTTATTTATGTTGCATTATTCTTATTCTCTATAATGCTTTTGAAGGAATAAATTCTTCAATATTTTTTAATTTCAGCAGCTTTTCAGAATTAATTTAGTTTATAAAATACATTTAATTTCAGCAGCTTTTCTGAATTAATTTAGTTTATAAAATACATTTAACTTCAGAGAAGAGGAGTCATGAAAGATTATTACAAAGCTATTTTATAGAGAAAAGTTTCTTAACACTTAACTTAAAGTTCATTGGTGAAATCATTCGATCGTTTTCAATTGATATCGTCTGCTCTTTTTTAAGAGTAATAATACATGAAAATAAATTAAGAATACAAGCAGTGATATTAAAGCTGGTTAATCTTATTATCGTGTTAAATTCAAAGAGTTAAGTGGATTTTTTTTTAAACTTTATCTAAGATGATACAGTTCTTTTTATTCCCAATTTTTTTATTATTTTTCAACTCCTTGACTCGTCTGAAATCATTTATTGTAAATATTGTCAAATATTCCAAATACCAGAAACGATATTACATGATTTTATGAGATGCAGTACTATTGTGAAATATATATCTTAGATTAAAATTTAAGCGCATTTATGTACTTCAATATCGATAAATCAATAAAAAATAATAATATACATGGATGTAACAAAATAACTTCAGATAATACTGAAAACTACTGAACCAAACTACGATACGTTTTATCAAAAGATACAGTTTTACCGTTTTCAAAACCGTTCAAAAGCTTACATTTTCCTACTTTTGTAAAAATTTTCGCAATTTTGTATGGTTTACAAGCATTTAAAAATTGGAATTATGAAGTAATTTTTAATCTAGAAAAATCTTGTCCGTATATGGGTAAAACACAATTCTACCAGAAAAGAGAATTCTCAATTGTCACACGACGTCCTTTTCTCTCCGCTGAAATAAATGTAGATTAATATCCTTATAAGATGTAGATTAATATAAGATAATGAAGTTATCTTATTTATTTTAGACCACTGTAAAATAAAAAGAGATAACTTAAGTGCTTTTATTAAACTTTTTACTGATTAATTTTTTTTATCGCCAATCTGGATAAATTCAATAATAGTTGTTTGAGGAAGCTGATTACGTTTCGTTCTAGAAAAAAAAAAGCATTGCTTGTAATTGAGGCAATTCACTATTCGGGTAATGGACGTAGTGAGTTCTAATCAAGGTTTGAAGTCAGATTCTAAGAATTGGGAAAAATTTAGCTAATCCCTAACTTCTTCAAGCCAATTTCTTTTGTTTTTTGTTGTTTACAAAAATGAAGCAATGGGATAGCTGCAAGTGACGTAGTGTGGGTCTCTCGATTCTGATTGGCTGTTGAAACGTATCATTCGCTTACGTTACGAACTGTTCTTCCAGTTATATTCGAGTAAACAAAGTCCGTCAAGTATCAATTCTCTTAAGTGACACATTCTATATTTATTCACAAAAATTCTTTCGTAATACATTTCTTATTCAGCACAAAGAGAGGCATGAAACCATGTAGAATATAAACAAAACTAGTTATACATTGTAATTGCCAGCTGTTTCTTTGTTGTTGTTTTGTTGTTGTTGTTTCTAATTCCACGGGAAAGCCTGCTTGGTGAAACCGAGCAAATGTAAGGCAGAGTGTGCGTTTCTTGTTTTTAAGTGGCGCCATCTATGAACAAGAATTCGACTTCTGCCACATACGCCGCACCCGTTTATAGGGCGGACGGTTTATAGGGCGCTTATACGGTTACAATAAAAGGCATAAGGAAATAATTACTCTAAGTAAAGTAAAAGGCATAGACGAGAACGAATTATATTTCGACAAATTCGATGTGTCATACGGTGCTGTATTTAATTAACTTCTTGTTAATTAAAATTCTAACTTATGTGGTGAAACTTAGCTCAACTTTAACGCGCCATTTTGCTTATAAATGATCAGCTGGAGCTGACGTTTTAGGTCACGCGTGTGGGTATCTGATCTACTTCTTTTTAAAGCGCAAGTACAGAATTGGATATCGGATAAAATATTGCATTTACCCGACTGAATTCCCCCTCTCCTACTAAGTTGGCGAAAAGTTTTAGATGACATTTTTCAAAACATTAAGATTCCGCAGGTCTTAATGAATGAAGGTACTAAGCGATAAACTGAGAGTGTGTTTGGATTCTATGAAGCTCCAAGTGAAGTTCTGCTTACCTTCTTTTTGACAGAAAATTAAAATGCTACAAATGCGATCAGTATAAGCGTGTTAAAGGTATTTATAGATTTCGACAATTAGAATCTTGAGCAAGAAATAAAAGCAAGCCAAATTCTTCACTTCACATAAATTTTATAGCTAATTTTTTTAAATCACTAAGATATCTCTTATAACCTTCATTCACTTAGATCAGTGTTTCCTAAAGTGTAGTACGCTTACGGTTACGGGAACAGTTTAGCGGGGGTACGCGTTCTTATGCGAAATATCTTGCAACAAACGAAAATTTCAGAAAAATTTATTTAAAAATTAAGCTAGCCATGAAAATTTACGATTACGTATTTTTCTATTGGCCATTTTTTTTNATGCCCAATAACTTATATTAGGTTCTAAGATGTTAGTTTAAGCAAGACTGTTGATTTTTTTTGCTAATTATTTACTGTTAGCTTGTTTTTTACGATTATTAATTGTTTTTTAGTATTAATTTTTAATTTTTTTATTAATAATTGTTTAATATTTTTTTTGTTTTTTGTGAATTTTAATTTAATTGTTACATATGCTTCATAGCGTAATAACATTTGTGTAATAACAATTCATAGTGTAACAACAATTGTGATCTGTGGAGTGCCCAAAGTATTGTGTCGGGTGCCATAAATGGCACGCGTGCCATTGGTTCGCCATCCCTGTCCTAGAGTTTGGTACGCGTACCCCCAGGGGTACGGGAACAGTTTCGCAGGGGTACGCATTCTTATGCGAAATATCTTGCAACAAACGAAAATTTCAGAAAAATTTATTTAAAAATTAAGCTAGGCAAGAAAATTTATGATTATGTATTTTTCTATTGGCAATTTTTTTTTTTGCAAAGTTAACAGTTAATAATTAGTGGTATCAGCAGCCAGTTGTGATTTTTAACTTTTGTGCATTTTTTTTATAGTAAAAAAGTACATTCATTTTTTTATTAGTCACATTAGTTTGGGTAACACTGACTTAGATCTTTAGTGGTCAAGTTTCCTGAAAATTATTTTTAGAATTACATTTACCGTCAATGTCCTCCTCGTTATATCTCCACGTTCCAGAATAAAACCCAGTTCTTTCAAAGCACACAGGTTCGATACCTTCTTCCTTTAAGCATTTTATACCACATATTCCAGCCATTCCTGCTCCAATTACAGCCACTCTTTTACATTTTTCAACACCCATGTTTATTCGCTGAAACAGAAAAAAAAATATTATATTTGCAGCAGGGACAATTTTAAAACAACATTAACTCGTCTCGATTAACATTCACTTGATTAAAAGGTTATAGGGTAATCGGTTACAAGCTTATACGAACTCGCTTTGTAAAGTCCAGCATAAGGATCCTGAACAGTGAAGACATATCTATAAAGAAGGTGAAGAAAATTCACAATGAAGGAGACTTAATTCTACTCGAAAACGGTTGGTAAGTAGGTACTTTATATACATCACACTAGGGCTACACAATGGGCTATTGGCGACGGTAAAAGAAACATCGCTGAGGTGGATCCGATGACATGCCATCGCAATTTCGATCATCTGCAAAGAGGATGGCTTTGGAAGTCCGACGACATACGGTACACTTTACGGTACTACAGTTTGATGAGGACCGATACCTTGAACTCTAGGTCCCTACGCAGGCTGATCAAAGTGGTCGCCCACCTGCTTACTGGCAGCAGCTGGTGATGCTTGACTTCGGTGTTCCACTGGGAACAGTGTCTTAACGATCAGTCCACTGCAGGATTTATTCAATAACGGAAAAGAAAACGTGTTGTTGTTGCTTTGTCCAGTACGTCAAGGAAAATTAAATTTGTACAAAAGTATCTAAAACAGCTTTGGCCACATCAATAATCTCTATGGAATAGAAGAGTTGCTGCGGGGGTTCCAGATGGATCCTGAAGAGCTTCGGCAATATGGCTAGGCAATCAAAGATATGGTCGAGAGAGGGTTCGGTGTCGATGCAGTGAGGACAACTTCTGCAGCTTCGATGGCCATCGGGAGATATTTAGAAAACATGTGACTTCATGAAATCGAAAAGCACTTGGGTGAAAGTTCAAAACCGAAGCTTTATGAACCAAAACACAAAACCGAACCACAACTGATGATCCAAATGAAGTGGTGACTCTGATGAAAAGAGTGAAAACTCAAAACTAAAGCTCGCTTTTACGTATCAGGACGAGTATTTAATTCATCGACTGCGAGTTTCACTCATCAAAAATTTTAACAGTGAAAATGAACAATTTTAACAGTGAACTTTTAATGAAAATGCTAACTTTTTAATGCTGTTTTAAAAAGGATAATTCCTTCAGAAATCAATTATATCAATAGATAAGTGTAGAGAAACTGACAATATCTCTATCATGTAACTTGAATCCAGAAAAGTATTTGCTATTGCTCTGACATTGTCAATAACTACTGTCTTTCAATCGCGAGATAAACTGTTTGTGAAGCTCACTCATTACGCAAAGTTATTGGAATGGAGGGAATCAGCTAAAACCATCTGCCGAGCGGAAATTATAGGTTCAACAAGACCATCAAGCCTAAGTACAATCTTCATCTAAAAATGGTCCCGCAGTGGACTGATCGTTAAGACACGGTTCCCAGCAGATCACCGAAGTCAAGCATCATTGGCTGCGGTCAGTGTGCGGGTGGGTGTGCAAGCAACAATAACAACAAACATCATCTAAAAATGAATAGTTGCTATCAGTTACTACGATAGCTAGTTACTATCGCGATAACCGCTCAAGTGCCGGAGACTTATGTTGTGATTGCCAGACAGCACAACTGCTATTTAAGGAATATTCATTAGGCGGCTTTTAATACGATTTTACCATCTGACTTAATAGAAATAATAAAGAAAGAAAATGTTTAAAAGTGCGTTCCTGTCTCTTTCATATATGTCTATTCTATATGAAACTCAACATAAAAAACCGATCGGGTTTTTTTTTCTTCTTTTTTTAGAATTAAGCGGAGAATGTGAATGTTGTCATACGCCAATCCATCGTTTGCGTACCACTTCTGTAAATATTCTTATAAATTATATTCATATTAACAAAAAATGTGTTTATATTTTGTTGAGTATGCAAACGGAAACCAACAAATCTGATTAATTGACAAATTCAAAGTTTTAGCGAAAATTTACTTACAACTTAAGCACAATCATTTTATTTATATTTATATAAAAAAAAAAGGATTAAATCATAAACTAAATTATGAATGTCTTTCTTCATTTTAACCAACTGTTTTTTTTTTTTTTTAATTTTTTTATAGTCCTGTTAACGAAGGCCAAAAATGAACATATGTCGAAACAAAGGACGAGGTGATTGTCAGTAGTTATAAATCATTTAAAGATACATTTTCCTGAACATCTTTCCTTACTATACTATTCACCCCTTTTTGCATATCTCATATCTCCATCACTAATTATGCAAAATTAATACATTTTGTCTTTTCANTCATCCAATAAATCCTTATTTTAAAAAAGTTGATTTAAGTTTTTCTGTAAAAATAACACCTTCACTGGAATTTTCATAAATAGGCAAAAATCGGGATTATAAGTTTGTAGTGTCTGGAGTCAAAAAAAATATATTTTGTTATACATTATAAAAAAGTTATTTTCATATAGTAATCGACGAACAATTAAACAAAGAACAATGACATAGCAGTAACCAATTAAAAATATAAGCATTAATAAAGAATTATAAAAAAAGTTTTCTTTCTGTGAGGAAACGAAAATGATAAAATTATGATTAAATTATGAGCGGTAAATTAAAGCCTCGAAAAATTAGGTATCATGAAAAGCGGACCATTCTTATCGAGACTCCCAATGATTAAATGAATATTTTTTCGTGATGTACAACCACTTGCAAAATCTTGATTATCATTATTTTACTGATTAACATTATGTATTTACTGATTAACATTATGCGAAATACTGTAGGCACTGGAGTGCTACTGAGAACCTCGATTCTTGCGAAATTAGTTTTGTTTTTGCCGACCAAGTGGCGGGTTCGAATCCCGCTCAGGGCATGGATGTTTCTTTCTCTATCTCGGTGTTCTGTGTCCTTTCTCCTTTGTGTGCGTGATTGTGTGAATGTGATCTGCCCTATAAACGGGTTTGTGGTTGTGTGACATGGGCGAAGCTGCTCCACCGCCGTCGCTTCGCCACAGGTGTCAACTGGGTAACGAGAAGAGAGTAGCATTCCTGACATATAAGGTCAATGGGACAATACATCCCAAGTGCCCGTCATTAAAAAATAAAAAGTTTTGCTTTTTACCGACTTAGAATCAATCTATCAAGAAATCTATCAAGTAAGAAGAAGGGGCTGCCATATTAGCGTATTGTTGTTGAATTCCCGGCATCTACGTAAATAAGTTTGTTTTACTGTGTGAATTCTTTAATGTTCTCTTTTTACATTACTATATTTATTTATTGATCATTGCAGTTATAAAGAATATTTTTTGCTCAACTTACGCTTACTTAGGATTCATACTCCAATACTTAGGATTCATACTCCAACAGTAAGAAGTTCAGTTGTAGCATGGTTCTGTTTCGTTTCGTCTTCTCCTCTTCTCTCGGGACACCACATAATAATTACACCGAAGAGCCATTACATTATGACCACCCTCTATCTACAACAATGGTTTCTCGCCCAGGAACAATGTTTTCATGGGGCACATTAGGACCCATAATCCTCATAGAACAATCCCTGACGTCTGTAAGCTACTTGAACATAGTTGCAGATCAGGTTCACCCATTCATGGCAACAGTTTTTCCTGCGGGGGATGGTGTTTACCAACAGGATAATGCACCATGTCATAAGGGTCGAATCGTCAAGGATTGATTCGAGGAACATTCCAGTGACTTTCAAGTCATGTCTTGGCCCCCACTTAACCTTAATCCAATAGACTTCACTTAACCTTAATCCAATAGAGCATTTGTGGTCCTACTTGGAAAACCAAATTCGTGCTGCCACGTTACCCCCTCGCAATGTTAGGGAATTGCAGGACAAATGGGTTGGGTGAGCGCTTGGTACCAGATACCTTAGACTACCTATCAGCACCTTGTGGAATCAATGCCACGGCGGGTGCTAGCAGTTTTGAGGGCTAAAAGTGGTCCTACATGTTAGCAGGGTGGTCATAATGTAATGGCTCTTCGGTGTATATCCAATCAATAATCCATAATTTATTTAATATTTCGCTCCGTTACATGAACTTCTTCATATGAACTTCTTCATACAAAATACGAATAAAAAAGAGTAGCAAAATTTAAACTATAAATTTTTTGGAAAGCAATATATTGAATAAATTATGAAAATTATATGCGTTTATAAAAATTTTAAAAGTATTTTTCATCGAACTTTTCCATTTAAAATAAAATATCGAAATTCAAGAAAAAAGAATTACGTTCCCTTGATAATTGTTCTAATCGTTCATAACAGTTCCCTTTTGAAAATCGCAATTCAGCTTATTTTATTCTTAATCAGTGTAACCCAGAAAAAATTCATAATGTTAAATATTTCATTCTGCACATTGAATTGTTTAAAAAAAAAACTAGTATAAACATTTTTTTTTTTTTTTGGTTAGTATATTTGCAGTTACTAATGAACTTTTTTTAAAAAATGCTAGGGTTTCACAGGTTTCCATAGCTAAAAAAGTGGGAGAAAACTCAGCTCCAATGTTGATAAAAGTACCAAAAACCATTTACCTACTTTCAACTTCTTCGATGAGGTTTTCCATATAAGTAAAATGCCTGCTAGTTGACTAAGCTTGGTGAACAAAAGATATTGCTTTCCCTGGTCTTGTAATTTAAAAGAAAAAATGAAAGATAAATAGTAATACGAATGAAAATGGAGCTCTTTAGTTCTTTACTCTTGTGAATTAAGCAATCCTACATTTTCGGGAATTTAATATACACTTGCCATACAAATTCTACAGTCATGACTTTTTAGTATATCAGGATTAACGAAAAACGTGATTCTAAGATCTCAAAAACTAGATGCCTTATCTCTGATTTCAAATTCCCTATTTTAGTTTCATATTTTTCTTAGAGTTGAAGATTTAGCAAAGATGTAGGATTAACGAAAAACGTGATTCAAAGATATTTTAGTATCGTTGATTTCAAATCTGAAATTTCTTTCTTTCTCCGTGGCTATAGTTTTTCCTTAAAAAACATTTTTGTATTTTTTTATCGAAATGTACAAGTTTCAAGACGTTATATATAACAGGGGGTTGCATAAATGTTGCGATAAACTTCGAGGGGAGTTAGGGCACATAATCATGATTAAAACTGCACAGAAACTCATATTCAAAATATCGTCATACACCGCTAGGGGCGCTTCCTTATTATAAACAGTTTTACGTGTGCTTCTGTTTGGTCATAATAGAAAAGCGACCCTAACTGTGTAAGGCAACAATTTCGGATATGAGTTCATATGCAATTTTAATATGACCTAATTTCCCAGTAAGTTTGTCGCAACATTATATGCGACCCCCTGTCATATATACCGTTTTTAAACTTGTACATTTCGATAAGAAATAGACTAAAAATATCATTTAAAAAAAAATTCCTCTTCAGAAGCTGTCGAGTTTTAATTGTCGATTTTATCAACCTTCTTCTATCAAAAGGTGCCTCATGATGGAATCAAGTTGAAATGTCTTATATACTAGTGATTTGGAATTTAATCACTGGCGTCGGCACCATAGGGGTCTGAGGGGTCCGGACCCCCCCAATAATTGGGAAGTCAGGGTCCATTATTTTGAGAAAATATTTCTGTTTTGTTTCCGTAACTTGAAATTTTTTTTCTCTCTTATTTTTACATAGTGCAACTTTTTAAATACAGTGATATGGGAAAATGGTCTTAGCATTTTAAAATTATCTTTATCGTATTTATGGCCCTGGGCTCTTTTGTCCTCTTTTTTTAAAATGTCAAATATCAACAGACCCCTACCTATTCATAAATTGTCTCAAACAGGCAATTATCCAGAATATCTAGGGGGATTTCTTTTAGGTAAGGGGAGATTCTTGTAGATATTTTCTATTTTTTTTTTTTTTTTTTTTTTTTTTTTTTTTTTTTTTTTTTTTTTTTTTTTTTTTTTTTTTTTTTTTTTTTTTTTTTTTTTTTTTTTTTTTTTTTTT